GGGCCGGGCCCGGGGCTTTTTTCCCCCCCCCCCACAGCGGAGGGGGGGGGAGCCACATCCCCCCCGCACCTCAGTTTCCCCCTCGGCGTGGGTGCGAGGCCCCAGGGCCCCCCGGCCCCCGCTGAGTCACCCGCACGGCGGCAGCGGGAGCAGGAGGGAGCTGCTCTCCCAGGACAGCCCCCGCCCAAGCGGGGCCCCAAATTTAAACAAGCCACCTACGAGCTCACCCGGGGGGGAACGCCAACGCCACCGGCGCCACCGGCTGCGGGAGACGCCGGGTCCCCGGCACAACATCCCATGCCGGAGCAGGGGGAGCAGGCAAGCGAGCCCGGCACGATTTGGGGCCAAAGCAGCATAACTGGGGCACGAGGGCCCCATGCACAAAGCCGCACCCAGAGGCCACGTGTCGCCCCGTGCACCCATGGGACGTGCCCGGCAGCTCCCGCGCCCCCGCCCGGCGGCTGCCACCCCACCGGCCGGGAAGGCCTTGTGCAAGCGACGCCTGGCCACCTTCCCTTCCCTTCCCAGCCCCGTTGGTAGGCAGCAGAGTTATAATTAACCTCCTCGCATCCTGCGCGATGCACTGAGTCACTCCTCCAGCAAACCAAAGCAAATAAAGAGAAGCTTCTTCAACAGTCACTGACTTCCTCTGCCAGCGAGGCTCGCCCCGTGCCCGCGGCACGGCCAGCACCGCGCACCCCGAAACGCGGCCGGGACAGGGGCTGCTCGGCTGGACGCGGCTCACGGTCAGGCGCACGTCCCCCTCCCCAGGTGATGCTACCCCAAAAAGTCACGCCAACGCTTCCCCGGCTTGCAGACCCCCCGGCACGGGGGGCGTGAGCCCGATGGCGGCGGCCGGACCCTGCCCGTGCCTGGGCACAAGGAACCCCTTGAACAATCCTGTTTACGGAGAGGGTTTTCTTTTTTTTTTCCTTTGCGTCTACATAAAGGTAAACGGAGAGTCCCCGAGCAGGCTCCCCCGAGCAGCTGGGGTTCAAAGAGCCGATTCTTGTTCTGTGCGTCCCAGGACACGGGTATTTTCCAGGCCAGTAGCCAGCCGGTTGCCTCGGTGGGTGGTGTATTCGCCGTCAAAGGCCAGCCTTGCTTAAAACGGGGCTGAGAACAGCTCGGAAGCCACGGCCCTGCAGAAGCTGCCGCAGGCGGGGCGGGGGGCCCCCGGGCCCCGCGAG